GAACTGTTTTTTTTTTTTTTTTTTGTAATAGTTGGTGTGTCATTTTCTGATTTCCCTCCTTTTTTAATGGGTTTGGTAAAGAATTTTGAATGCTTGAACTGTTATAACCTACTTGGTTGAGTTCATAGCAGCAATGAATAGAATTTTGGTGCCCTAAACCTGGTTGAATTTGGTGGGCGGAGGAGAGGAGACCTTTTTAATGGTTTAATATTCCATAGCTACTTTTCTTTGGTAAGGCTATGACTTGGGGTTTTCAATTACATAATGCCTTACCTCAAATTTAATTTTCTTCTTTTGGTTTTGGGTTTGATTTTCATTCAACCACCCAAATTCCCGTTGAAAATTCTCTCTCTCTCTCTCTCTCTCTCTCTCTCTCTATATATATATATATATATATATCTGCATGTATGTATAGGCATGAACTAAACATACAGAAAATTTGAAAAATTGTCCGACTCTCATGATGATAGGAAGTGGGATGAGGAGGGGACATGAATCATGATGATGGAAAGATTGTACACCCTTGTGTGTGTGTGTGAGGACTGGACAAGCAAAGAGGTGCCCCACTGCATAGATTAGCACCCCCTGGTTGGTCGGTCGGTCGGTCGGCTTAGTTGACTTCTAATAATCACATAATAGTCCAAGCTTGTCACTAGTTGATATTGCTTTCTTTAGAATTTTTCGAACTTTCTCTCAAGATTTTTATAATGAGTCTCCTAATGTTATAAAAAAATGTTTTGTTTCTCTTTTCAACTGATATAGGATAAGATCTCATAATTCACTTCCCTTTGGGACCTAGCTAACGTCTTCGCTGACACTAGTTCCTCTCTCCAATCAATGTAAGATCTCACAATTCACCTCAGAAGAGTAGCATCTTGGTTGATATACCGCTTGATGTCTACCTCTTAAAAGCCTCGAGAAAAAGTCTGAAAGAAAAAATCTAAATAGGACAATATCGGTTCGTTAACCGTAGATTTAAGCGGTTAGATGCAAAATTATTTAAAGCAAGGTGTGTTTGTAAGAGGTAACGTGGGCCTGAGCTGGAACCCCCAGGGCTCCGATTCTCTAATAACGTGGACCTGTGTACGGACGCCACGCCACTAACACACCACACACGTGCTTTCTGAAATTTCTCTATTTCTTTTTCTTTTTCTTTTTTTAAAAAAGAAAATTAAAGTTACTCTTTAAAATGTTTTATTTTAATTCCTTACCCTTTTTACGACGGTGGTTGATGCTGGTCGGTTCAGTCCGATTGTGGCCTCCGTTTGATTCGAATTCCTCGACGTATACGCATTGAGGTTCGCCGTCTTCTCCAACATTACCAGTAATCTCTCTCTATCTCTCTCGTGAAAAATCTCAGTCATCCATTAATTTAGGTTCTGCAAATTCATGTTGAAAGTGTGCATTGTCTTTTTCTTGCATCTAGAAGAATGAATCTAGTTTTGTTATCTCTGTGGTACTCCCGTGAGTAATTGAGTTCCACCGAAATCAATATTCGTAGTACGCCTTTTATGGCGCTGACGATCTGTTATCACGGACTGGAGTAGTTGCTCTGTGTTTCGATCCGTGACCCGGGCCAAGACCTAGTGGTTGATTTTTTGTTGTTAGAATGCTGGATGATTTTTTTGTCTCATTCTAGGTTATGCTCAACTTTGTTAGGCGGGAAAAACGACGAAATTTTTAGGTTTCTTTAGAGATAGTGGAATTTGTAAATTGGAACCTGAATTACTTTTTTGAAGTGTCTTATCTTGAGCATACTGGCTAATCAATTCTTAAGCCTGGAGAATGAGCTCAATCAGATTCTTAGGTTCTGGTTTTTGAACATTCAATCACTTGGTTAATCTAATGTACCATTCCGTTACTAATTTAACACACCAGTATCAAGTTTTCTCCAATTTTGGGATTATGGAATTCTCCATCTTCTCATAACATCATGCCATGCGTTTATCCGTTTTGATTATAAAATCTTGAACGGACGTTTATCGATGAGGAGACGATTCACAACTCACCATATGTTCATTAGCAGAATTCTCCTGAAGTTTCTCATTTTTCCAATGTTCTTTGGGTATTTTATTCTATTTCATTGTATTGTAGATGTTAAATTATTACTAATTAAGAAACTTTACCCACGATTTTATGATTAGTTTATTCATTTAGATTATTTCTAAACTTTTTTCACTGTGAGCTCAAACTTTACTTTGATCAATGAAGTTCAAAATGTAGATTATTATTTAAAATTGGAAGTAACTTTTGGTAACTGTTCATGCCATTTTCTTATGGCTTGCTTAATCCTGAATATTTTTCTCTCTTGCTGTCTTTTGTGATAGTGACTGAAGTTCATTGAAGGAGTGAGGACTCTCCTAGCTTCCCTTTCTTGACGTTCATCTATGCTTTGGGGCATTTCTTAACCGAATACTTGATATATCATGCCATGTCCATTGCACATCTGACGACTGTTGGCATTTTTGCAGGTACGATTGCTAGAATTAAATTCATCAGAGATTGAGTTGGGTTTGGACTTTGACACCTTTGGCTTTTGCTCTATGGTCTATTCTCCTCTGGTATTTTTAAATCTTGAACTAAAACAGAATGTTTCTCGCAAGAATTTACCTGTCTGATCCTATATACTGCTATCAGATCTTATGTAACTTGTGTAAAGCCTGGTATTCTTCCTTATGATGCGATAATATAAATATATTGGCCATTTCAGTCAATAGAAGACTGATTATGTTCCCATTCATGGTATTGCTTCTATTCTGAAATATGATATTTGTTACTCAACAGGAGAAAAAATAATGCTTGTTTTTAGCCTTTCGATTTTGCTGTCAAACTTTGATTAAACATAGGTACATCAATTATATGGATGCTGCTTCAGTGGAATGTACACCAAAGAACACCCCAAACATTCTTAATATGAGTAGATGCCCAAGTTTGATCTGGGAACGAACATTACTCTGCTAGATTAGCTTCGGAAACAATCTAGACCTTCAAAATCATTGTCTACCTGATACGTTTTAACCTGCTTTGTTCAGTATAATGTGCTGTTAATGCTGGCGTTCTTCCTGCTTGCACTGAAAATGGAAGAGATTTTTTTTCTTTTTTCTTTTGGAAGGCTGTGTTCTAGCATTTGAATGTTTCCCGAGATTCATGCTCTTACAATTTAATTCCTGTTAAATTTCTGACATGATCTATCCCCTTAGCTGCTGCTATCAAGATGTCCATCCCCTAGAAATCCATTTATTTTTACAACAAAGAGAGAATTTTAAAATTGTATTTCAAACTTTCATCAAATAGTGTTATTAAGAGTCAACAGATCTTGAATATGTATTAAAGCATATTATTAAAGAGTAGCCATGCTGAATGATTTCTGCTGTCAGTACGCTAAACTACAAACCGGCTTAAAAGCAAGGATTTTGCTTTAGTTGGTGTCTTAACTGTTTTTCTCTCTTTTATTCAGTATGGTTACACGCGTCGCTTGTGGAACAACAAGGAATTGGGTAGCGGAATTGACAGGTCCTGACCTCCTCCCACAGTAGCATGGTGGATCGATCATTTGGAGCTTATCATTTCCACCATCTTTTCCAAACTTATCCTGTAAGTCAATTTCAATGTTTTAGTGCTCAGAATGATGGATGTGATATCCAAGTAAAGCTATCCACGCACTCAAAGAAAATAAACATGCATTTGATTTGAAATCACTCACCTCGGTTGCTTCGTGCAGCTGAGCTTTGCTTTGCCAAGTAACCTGTTTGTATGTAGTAAATTCTGTTCTTTATTCGGTTCCTGTTGAATTTCAGCCACGATTCTCTTGCGGACAAAACACAATGGTATGAGGACGAGCAAGTGGAAATAAACATGTATCTGCGCCAAAAGGAGCAATCATCTGTTCTATCTCTGAAAAGGACCAACCATGCACTCCCATGCGCTGCAAACTATTCTCACTATAGCACTTTTTGCTCAACTCTAATGGGTTTGATCTCCATTGGCGGAAACTGGTAAGAGTCTTGGAGAATACAGTTTCTTATAAAAAACAGAGGCTACAGCTTCCAGAGCTAAATTTCTTTTGAACATTAATTCTATGCTGCTATTGTATTTTACACTCATCGCAATGCTAGTGCTTCAAAGCCTTCTAACACAAAATTGATTGCTTCACTTGCAGTAGTAGGAGCTTGAAATCAATTGTCAACAATTCAATTCGTCACATGCTACAAGAGAAAATTATCGATCATATGTTGGATCACACAGGCCCCATCAGAATTGACTCTGTACCTGTTGACCTGAAATAAACGTATAATTTGAACTCGTTACTCGAGAACAAGGTCCAAATCGAATCTAGTTCTGTGCATCCCAGATAAAAATCTTGCCTGAATGGTAAGATGTGCATTATTTCTTTGTTTACTACTGTGGAAGTCAACATCGACCCGCTCCCAGCCCACGCTTGATAGACGTTTGATCATTTCTTCTACAATGATCACAATAAGATTACAATGTCAAAAATGCTCAAAACTAACGATCTGTAAGCTTCAAATCGGCAACTATTAATAGAATGCTGACCTTCCACCTCAGTTTTCTTGAATCTATTGCCTTTGGCCTCTGACGGCACATATGTTTGAGGACTGGAAACTATTTCCGTCTCAACATTTACAATATATGGATATTTGTCATCTATTGATACACCTTCGAGCTAATAAGTAAAAAAACCAGTGAGAGAGTAGTTCAAAGTCTACCAAGAAAACTTCGATTACGTTCAAATTTACCTTTGGCAACTCCGTGCGACGCCTTATAGAAGACGTACTCCACCCGACAACGTCTGTATTTAGTGTCAAGATTTATACATAAACAGACAGACGCCTTATAGAATAATTGGGAAGGATACGAAAATAGGCAAGTAGAGAAACAATGACAGGATACTATCGTAACGCTTATTAGCATAGGTAACACGCCGCCTAAACGACTGCAAAGCAGATCTGCAAGAAAGAACCATAATGATATTACATGTCAAGATGAGAATGTCTAGATCCAGACTAGGAAGTGTTGCAAACTTGATCTCAAAAACAGTGGACTCACAAGAATTTGAGATCTTCATGATCGCCAGCCATGTGAAGAAGAAGGGGGCGGTTTTCACTGTCCTTGTCAAGTAAAAATAAATGTCTCCCAGTTCTACCAAATAAATATGATGTGCAAATAGCCACTTTTTCCAGGGCATAAAAGCCACAACACATAGGGACCTGAAAATCAAAGAGGGAGAGTACTTGGTATCATAGCAGCCTATATTTGGCCACAATTTCAAGACAATGCAGATGCTCGGAATTTTTCTATCACAATATCAAATTATGACGGTAACAGCCCAAGTCCACTACTAGCAGATATTGTCATTTTTGGACTTTTTCTTACGGATTTCCCCTCAAGATTTTTAAAACGTGTCTAATAGGGAGAGGTTTCCACACCCTTATAAAGAATGTTTCGTTTTCCTCCCCAATTGATGTGGGATCTCACAATCCACCCCCCTTCAAGGCCCAGCGTTCTCGCTGGCACTCATTTCCTTCTCCAATCGATGTGGGACCCCACAATTCACCCTCCTTCGGGCCTAGAGTCCTTGTTGACACACCACCTCGTGTCCACCCCTTTCGAGGCTCAACCTCCTCGCTGGAACATTGCCCGGTGTCTGGCTCTGATACCATTTGTAACGACCCAAGCCCACTGCTATCAGAAATTGTCCTCTTTGGACTTTCCCTTTTGGGCTTCCCCTCAAGGTTATTAAAACACGTCTACTAAGGAGAAGTTTCCACATCTTTATCTTTATAGAAGTAGAAGTAGCATAAATGACATTTAAGCATAAAAAGCAAGAATAGCTAAAGAACACATTGATTGATTATTCACCTGTTTATGCCCTCTTGAACCAAGATGTGGGGTTGCAAATGTTATAAAATTAATTGGTTCCAGCCCTGCAATTGTCTCTTTAAACTCCTCTCCATTGCTTTGATCTCTAGACCCATGGTTGTTATACTCTCCATTCACTTGGACATCCTCTTTTTGCTCATAAAGCTTTGCAATGGCATACCTTGCTATCAATCCGCCTAATGAATGGCATATGAAGGAGATCTTTTGAACATTTGGATGTCTCTTGATAACCAACAAAATCTGAACACAAAACAGATTCAAGGTTGTCATATGAACAAGAAATCAAATGAATATGGAAATACAAACTTAGTTTTGTAGATGATGGCATGCCTCTTCTGCCAGTCTTCCTCCCATCACGTCAACGCCATCAAGTGTCAATGTCGAGTAATTACGTTTACTGCCTGCAAATAACAAGACATTGTATTCATACAAGAAGCTTGGTACGGTATGAACACAAACGTTGTAACAGCCCAAGTCCACCACTAGTAGATATTGTCCATTTCAGCCCGTTATGTATGCTAGATAGAGGTTTGTTCTCGCTGTCAAACTGATGTGAGACCTCACAATCCACTCCCCTTGAGGATCCAGCGTTCTCACTGGCACACCGGCACACTACTAATACCATTTGTAACAACCCAAACCTACTGCTAGTAGATATTGTCTACTTTGACCCGTTGCGTATCATTGTCAGCCTCATAATTTTAAAATGCTCTTCTCGAGAGAGGTTCGTTCCTATCTCTAACCGATGTGGGATCTCACAAAGGTAATCGCGAAGTAAAAGAATATCAAACTTAAAAAGACTCACAATGAACAATGATATCTTCAGGATACGTCTTCAAAAACTCCTCCGCTGCATATTCCCAATCTTTGGCACTGACCCAATAAGGAAAAACAAATCGTCAACACAAATACCAAACGCCATGGATTTGGCTAAAAACTACTGGAAATAGAACGGTACGACCCGCCATTGATGAACAGATAATTCCTTGATCAACCAATTCATTATAGTAAAAATCGAAAACAGGTACAGAAACAGATTCCCACATAAATGCAAAATCAAAATACTGATTGGGAAAAAATCATAGACTGATGAACATGAACAGCAACCGAAAATGGAGTAACCTGCCAACGAGACCATTAACCATTATGAGGAGATGCGTGGGCTTCCGACGCTTCCCATCGCCATTGACGACCTCCATATCGAAGTTTCCTTCCTCGTCTTGTTGCACTCTAAAACATCCGAATCCGATCTTACGTAGGTAAAACGATTCCATACGAATTCCATTCTTCTTCTTGTTCCCATTTCTCGTCTCATTCAAAACATCCGGAGTTTCCGACTCCATCGAAGCCATAATCAAACGTCAGAAGATTCAGCAAATGAAGAGGAATAGAACTCGACTAAAGTGGTGCCGTGGATGATCGAAGAGCGGGATGAAGGCGGAGAGTGGTTGAAGAAGTTACAGGGAAGATAATGAAAATAGTGCCGGACCGCCGCGATCCCACCGTCAATCAGTGACGGGCCATTACCATGGTGCACTGAATCTCCAAGAACACGAAGATACAGAGATCTCCATTTTGTATTACGCCTCAGATTCTGAGTTTTCCCGATCTCCTCCACAACCGCAACCACTCTCACACCGATTCACCATTTCATTTCTAAAGCAACTTCGAATTTGAAGTCGAAGTCAAGCGACGAGTGGGTTTGTCGGCTTCTCTTTGTTTTTGGGATTTCAAATCAAATGGGGTCGCATAAAAGTAGAAACAGAGCACCGCCAATCTCATGGGTGGTGACAGATTCAGACGTTCATCGAAATCACATCTTCTTCTTCAATCATTGAGCGACACGTCTCACAATACGGAATCTGAGGATGAACTCGAAACAGATAATTGCCAACCCAATAATAATAATAATAACATTGCCATATGCAAATTGCTAATCCTTTTGGGCCTTTTCAAGCTCGTATGAATTCAAGCTCCGCCTAATCTTTGCTTCTTTGCTAATTAATACGTCAAACCCGCATTACTTAAAGTTAATTGCTTATTTTATTACTAATTCTTGCGCATTTGAGACGTCTTCCGAATTAATTATGACAAAGTTAGGATTTGATACTAAAGAATAAAAAGTTGGAATTTTTCAAACTTAAATAATCAAATAATAAAATTTCAAAGTTTATGGTAAATTTTGAATATTCCCTAATAATTTAATTTTTTTTTCTAGACGTTTTTTTTCATAAACCATGCAAAGTGGTTGTTGGATCCTTTAAATATTATTTTGATTTGAAAAAAAAGTTATTTCAATTAAATAATTTATTATTACTTCAAACAAAAAAAAAAATTTATTTGGTTTATTTTTTTTATCATACTATTAACTTCTAGAACTACGCCAGGTGGGACCCAGAACTGCCCTACCCTGACCGACCACCTGCATCTGCCCCGATATTCCTTGCCAATTTTCAACTTTATTATTATTATTTTTAGATATTATTTTTCTCCTAAATGGCAGGTGGGATAATTATACGGTGTATAATAAAATAAAATCTAATGTTATTTATTTACTCCCAATTACCCTATCATGATTTTTCATTTTTCTTAAAAAAATATTTTTAATTTTTAATTAAATTAAAAAAAAAACAAAAATTTTGGAATTTTCAAAATTTGACTTCACTTTTTAAAATATTTGAAAATATTAGTTTTGAAAATATTAGTATGAAGTAAAGAAGCTTTTTCTCGTTAATCATGAGCCACCACAATTGACTCGATTAATTTCCTTTGAAATGATAATCTCACGAATTAAATTACAGGTGTTCTAAAAAAAATTAATAATAAATTTAAGAGTTTAAGACGACCCCGTTATTATATTTGTATTAGAAACTTGGCGTGCAAGATAATCAAATTAAACTCTACTGTTGAGTTGACTGCAAATTCTTGATTATTTTATTGAAGCCATCTACATGAAATTTCTTAATTTAATGTTTCAAATACATATATACACACATATATAACTATTATCCTATGATGAGGCTAAATTAAGCTGAATCTGTCACCATCATCTCTTCAACGAGAGTTCGTAAGCTCATCAATGACAGATTCCTATTGCAGCATAGAGTTTTGAGTAATGAGCTCCCGGAATTGTGAGATTCTACATCGATTCAAGAGAGGAACGAAGCATTTTTTATAAGGGTGTGGAAACCTCTCCCTAACAAAACACGTTTTAAAAACCTTGAGGGGAAGCTTGGAAAGGAAAGTCCAAAGAGGACATTATCTACTGGCGGTGGGCTTGGGCCGTTCCACGAATTGAACTAAGATTAAGATTAATGGATGATTAATTCAAATTGTAATTCAAATATCATCTAGTAACCTATAGAAAAACTAATCCATAAGATGTTGAAGAACATGGCATTAATGAATGAGCTAACCTTAGCAACTAGTCCTTATTGAGAACTTCAGGAACTTTGATATACGGCTCATCAAAGGCTGGAACTGCGCGAATCATGGCCTCTCTGGTGTCAAAAAGATAGTAGAAGTTATGGCCAAAGCTTGCTGCCAAATGTTGGGATAGCTCAAGTTGAAAAATAACCAGGTTACCTGTTTTCAAATGTTTCAGGAGCGTCATTCCGCTGATTGACACCTCCAGATCTGTAAATAGTTGCAAAATTAGTACTAGTTTTTGCTGCACTACAATTGTTTGCCTGTCCTGTTCACAAAAAATAACTTGAAAGTGCAGCAAAAACTACAATCGATTGACTTGTATGATTTGAAGCCAACACTTAACCGTGAGAAACAATCAAAGGTATTGTAACGCCCGAGCTTTCGAGGTATTAATGACCCTTGTTTTCCTTCCTAACTTCAAAATACATGCATAATAATAAGATTATGAGATTTTATTGTAGGCCGAGGAGACCGAGACTCAAGTCGATGAAGAAGGAAATTATGCTCGAGATGGTTGTGAAAAAAAATGATCAAATGGTATTAGAGTCAGGCACCGAGTAGTGTGCCTGCAAGGACGCTAGGCTTCTAAGGGGGTGGATTGTGAGATCCCACATCGATTGGATAGGGGAACAAAACATTATTTATAAGCGTGTAGAAGCCTCTCCCTAATAGACGTGTTTTAAAATCATGAGACTGACGGTGATACGTAATGGCAAAAACGGATAATATCTAGCAATGGCCTCAGACTGTTACAGGTATTATGGTATGCTGGAAGAAGAACAACAAACAAGTTGCAAAATGATTAAGGATCACCTGCTCTAATGGAAGGTTCCATACTTTGAAGATCAACTGTCTGGAGCTGCCCAAACCTGAAACATAAAGTTATCATATTAAAGTAATTGGAAACCAAAGGGTACAACAGCCGAGGGAATTGATTCGACAGAATGAACAATTTCATAGGAAAAATGGAAGCTACAACGGCAAAAGTCCATGGAACTTCATTGCTGAAGGTAGTAAGAGGATGAAGGTGGTTTTGAATGTTAAGGTGGATAATGGCGTCTCTATTTCTTTTGGGACAGAGCAATGGACACCTCACGGCCTCTAAAGGAGAAATTTTCCAAAAACATCCGACTCACTAACTTTGACTCCACTCCACCCTTCTTAGGATCGCTAGAAGGGGTGTAACAACTCAAACCCACCGCTAGCAAATATTATTCGTTTCGGTCTATTATGTATCGACGTCAGTCTCACTGTTTTAAAACACGTTTGCTAGTAAGAGGTTTTCACACCCTTGTAAATAATCAAGGTGGGATCTCACAACGTAGCAAGTGTTAGGCTACTTAATGATGTAGAATCTTACGGAATAGATCATTCATTCTTCTGAAAAGTGTTTGAATTCAATAGTTAAGGGCTATACACCGTTGGAGTTTGGATTCTAATTGCCTCCTCTTTCAACCTTCCTGTTTCCCTTAATAACAAAGGAGATGCGGTGGCGTCCCTTCAAAGCCGTTCATTAAGGTTATTTAGAGGGAGGAGGAGTCTGAAAATGTGAGATTTTAGGATTGAACCCAGCTCATGGGGGCTTGCATTCTGCAAAGGTTCAAAAAAGGAACCCCACGTTCTCTCTTCTCTCAAGCTAGTGCATCTTCGTAAGAAAGATAAAGAAAATTGTTGTCATCTCTCCCTACATTGTCCTTTCTCCCAAAAACAAAAAAAAAGAATGGAATTCTCCTGTAGACACTTTTGATTTGTTCAAGTCCTTCCCAACGAAGCTTCCCACCGCATTCAACCATCTATCGTGGGAATCCATTTAAGTGAGATCCTATATTGGTTGGAGAGGGAAATGAAATACTCTTATAAGGGTGTGAAAAGTTCTAGCTAACAGATGCGTTTCAAAAACCTTGAAGGGAAACCCAAAAGAAAAAATCCAAAGAAAACAATATTGGCTAGTAGTGGGTTTGAACTGTTATAAATGATATCAGAGCCAAATATCGAGCGGTGTGCCAGCAAGTACTCTGGCCCCAAGGAGGGTGGATCATGAGGTCCTACGTTGGTTGGAGAGGAGAATAAAACATTTTTTATAAGAGTGTGGAAACCTATCTCTAACAGACCAACCTTGGTAAGTCCAAAAGGGAAAGAAAATATCTTTTAGCCGTGGGTGGGCTGTTACAAATGATATTAGAGCCAGACACCGAGCGGCGTGTGAGCGGTGTGTGAGAGTACGCAAGACCCAAGTAAACCAAACAAATTATGGAGAACAACATTTTACAACCTCTAGGTGAAGATCCCTTCAATGTATAGGACCTAACAAGCAGTTATCCCATCATAATTTACATAGAGACCTGACCAAGATACCATTGTATTTCAAGATCTACTAGTTTATGAGAGTTTGTGTATGTATTCGTATGCGAGGGAAAGATGAACTTACCAGTCAACAACTTGTCCAATTTTAGGCGCCAATTCTTCAACCTGAATTAGACAATCAAGACAACACAAACCCGAAAGTAAGAAGCAAATGTTACTCGATTCAAAAAATTGAATAAACAGAAGCAAAGATGGACGAGGGGAGAGCCTCGCATACCTCACCGGGAGTGAGAGAAATTCGAGCTGTTTCAGCTAAACGGAGGGCATCGGGGCCATAATTCCTGAAGCATTCGAACATTTTCGGATTCTGATGTTAGAAACAGATGGCGAATGCAAGCCGCTAGAGATGAAGATTCGCCGCTTTAACGATGAAAATGATGAAGCTCCTTTGAGCACAGGAAGAGCTTTGCTTCCCATTCCAATCGTTAATGGCGGAAAATGGAGCCTATTGCCAAATTTTTGTTATTTTATATTAGAAATTTCAAATTTATATTTTTTTTTTATTAAATTACTTAAAATTTTAATTTAATTTTTATATCTCAAATTTTCAACCATCGGAGCCCTAATTTTCAGTATCTGCGTCAGCACTCTCGGTCGATACTCACCGCCCGCTCACCGTCGTCTCTCAGCGCCTCAGGCTCGCAGCTTTCGTTCCCTCGTCTGGATTTTTCCCGTTCTCCTCTTCAAACAAGTGAGATTGAAGTTTTATGATCTTTCAAATTTTCATTTCTTCAAGTTTATGCGTTGTTCTAGTCTAATTTTGGATCGATGTTGGGAAGGATCGATATTTTGGTATATTGGTTGTGCTTTAAGAGTATCGAATTATGTTTTCTTTCTGGCTAAACTAAGCGATTTGATTCCTTCCTCCACCGATCCGTATGAACAGAAATTTGTACTGTGGCAGCTTAGGGAACAAATGCGTCATTCACTCGAGCGATTTCCATTTGTTCTTTTTCACGTTCTTGTCATCATTATGAAATGGCCGAGTTTCTGCCTGAGTAGTATGTGAGTATCACGAAAACTCTTGATTACACATTCAGACATACATTTCCTTGCATTTTAGTTAATTGTATTGGCTTGTACATGATTTTC